CATCACAATGAAATGACCTAATGAATAAAATGATGTGATTTTTTATTTTTCTCATCAATGACGATTCATTAATTTTCAGATTTCCTGTTCTTCATCCCAAGTGTTAATATTTGTATAACCGATTTATGTTCTATAGTATTTTGCTCCAAAGTTACTATCCCGTTTCATTCTATAAAATGCACGATAAGCAGACTCTAGATTTGTGCAGCTACTTTTACATACATGTACATGTCCACTTTATTACCCCGTATCTGTAGCTAGATATTTGGGATGCCAATTTGAAACAAAGTCTGTCAAAAGTACCCTCCTTAATACCCTAATATCCAATGACACCCATGTACCTTTATTCCTGTTAGGTGCTTAACATTGCACAAACTTAAAACAAAACAGTACCTGGAACTTGCAGCTGCAAAGAGAGAAAGAGAAAGAGAGAGAGAGAGATATTTAAAGAGAGAGAAAAGGAGATCATACATGTATGAGAATAATAAACTGGAAAGAGTGACTATTATTGATTGCAAAAGTGACTGCAATTATTTGTCAGTAAATAAATGAAATGTAAATTACTTTGGTATGTAGAAGGAAAATTGTAAGGTTCAGAATTCAGAATTATTTTCTAATCTGCCCTTCTCTATCACCTCGGCATTAACATCATCACCCCTTTTTAAATATCCATCTGATATCCCTCTAATAGAAAACTGAACAGCTTTTGAGCCATAATGCATGGCCATTCAGAGGATTTGTTTATGTTGGGGACCGGGGTAAAATGCAATAAATTTCATTTTCTGTTTTTTATTTTGTTTATGGAAACTGCCCCCTATCCTAGCCCCCGCTTCGTACAGTCATGGTTCAGTGACAAAGCAATGGCCTCGTAACTGTGAGGCCCCAGGATCAAAACCGTGTCGATGTGCTATATTAGTGCCCTTTTGTGGGGCATTAATCCTCGTTACTGTCATTTATGACTTAAGGGCGTAGGTCCCCTATTTGATAAGCATAGTAGCATACACATGCTTTAGCAGTCACGCAAAACACACATTGTCAAATTATTATTCAATAAAATCGGAGAATGGATACTATTATCTAGATCTATTATTTTTAAATTATTTTAAAAATAATTCCATAAAGTGGGGTAAAACAAAAATATTCCAACTATATGAGCGACAGTGTATAATGTGAAGCATCCATGTTGCACTTTCTCCCTCTTCGTATTCTTATGCCATTTTAAAAACTATTTATTACAAATCTTTAATATAGTAAGACCCTACATGTACATTACATGTACATGTGCACATATTTTCAGAAGAGTCATATTATTGAGTGGAAAATACAGCTTTTCTATTCAATTTCCATTATGTTCTATAGATTAGGTAAAGCTAAATTAATTAATATAATTTGAGTTAAAATACATGTTTCTCTGAGGATCCAAAACCATTGAATACTATTGATTACCTAAGATTTAACTAACCATGGTCAGTTATCTTTCATTACCATAATATTTTGCGATTTGTCTGAATTTGTATAGAAATAAAAGAAACTAAAGTATAATTTGCATATTAAAAAGATAATGTTTTTCTCCAACAATAATCAGCTGATTATCCTTTATTTTTGTTTGTTTGTAGTTGTTTTTTATTGATATATTTTATTTATTTCCTGTACAAAGATATTAATTGCATAATGTTTTCTCCTTTAAATGATTTTTTTTTTCTATTTTAATCCAATTTCCAAAAGATTACCCCTTATCCCTACAGTATATGCAATCTCCTACATGTATATACTACATGTAGCATTAAAAGTTGGCCAGTCTTCCTTTTAAAAGTTATTGGATTTTTGTTTGTGTGTGTCTATGTCAAAGTTATTCTTATGCACATCTATTTTTCATTTATTCTTCAACTCTGGTATGATTTCCATTCAGTTTGGTATATATTGTATACAGTGTACATATTACGTAGAGCCGTTCCTTGGTTTTAGCGGTCTATGGTTTTAGTCTTTAAAAGAGGGTTGGGTGTGGAAATTTGTCCCCCCCCCCCCCCCCCCCCCCCCCCCTCTGTGCAAAATTAATGACTGCTGTGGATTGCAACCTGTAAGTTTTACAGTGCACATCAACTTTATAATTAAGTTACCAAAGTTGGAACTGGTACATTTTTTTTATTATACGCACTGAATAGTAACTTTGAGACTAAATTTGCATAAAATCTCACTGTCCATACATTTTAGCAGTAATTTATTGTTTCCATTGTTGCAATGCCAAATGAAATAATAATTATAGCTTGCAGTAAAATCTTAGGATTTTTGTTTTTCTAAAGGGTGTCTACTGTCTAAAAAGAATATGCAACAATATTTTTATTGGATACATTTTAAAGTTTTAAACGGTACTCATCCATTCATTTTGTTGGCAGTGCTGTGTTAGTATTATCTAAATACCATTTGTGTACAAGGAACAATACTACCCCACAAACTTAAGTTAGGATTGTTTTTGCTAGACGTATCACATTTCAAATGTTAAAGATAGCATGTTGCATGCATCAGTGCACAAGAATACTGTGGCTTCTACATTTTAAAACAAACTTTCAATTTAAGTCACTCTTATTTCTTGGAAACAATACCATCATTGATTTGAAAGAAAATAATATACTTATTCATGCAGCTCTTCAAATATTTATTTCAAGTTAAGCAACAACTACCAAACATTGATTTTATATCATCCATTTCAGCAGATCTGCATGAACATGTATTAACAATACCTACATGTAGTTTTTGTATTGTATATTATTATGCAGATTCATATGAGTAGAAATGTATATGTCTTGGCAGCTCCTGATTCAATTATATCCTCTCTCTCTCTCTCTCTCTCTCTCTCTTTCTACCTTTTTATCCCTCTTTTCCCCTCTTTTTTCCCCTTTTTTTACTTTCAATCACTCTAGCTACCTCTCTCTTCCCCTTTTTGATCGCAGGAAGTTGCAATATTGTTATTATGTCACTGTAATAGTTCTGTATAAATGCAACTTTACATGTGTATACTTATACTTAATTGTAACTATTGCTCTTACCCAAACTACAGTCTTCTTTGGAGCAAACTGTCAGACATTTGCGGTAGTATACAGCTGAAATGGAATTTCCGTTCAACCAAACAGTATACTTCAAGGCTATTTCTCAGCGACGAGGGTTAGCTCCAGGTAGCAGTAGCAGGTACATGTAACAATATCTTAAAAACATTTACTTACCTGTAAGTCCTTTTCATGTGAAGATGATTCAAAGTACAACTATATTTATTTATTGTATAAAATGACCTGCTTTCATAAAGTCCTCTTGTGAAATCTTATGAATTTGAGTCCAATCTCCCCCCCCCCCCCCCACCCCCTTCCTGTTTTTCTGGCTTCTATGTATTCTTTGAGCCAGCCCTTTGACGTATGCTTAGATCTTTTAAGTTGCAAATTTAGAAATTGCTTTCTTCAGTCAGCAACATAATGCATGATTCACATAGATTAGGGATATGTACCGGTAACCCATAAGATATAAGAACAAATTGCGATAATGAAATGAAGTGTGGAAGAGAGGATCTGAGCTAGAAGACTATAAGGAGAATGCAGCCAAGGCTAAGCAGCAGGAACCAGTTTGGGCTTCACTCAAGACACAATATAGTTTTTGCAATGAGCTGTTAAATACTGGGTCTTTCCTTGCAGAGTAATAAGGGAGCAAGAGAAAGACCATCACCATGTATACACGTAGCAGAAACACAAAGCAAATAAATTTGAGACATTTTATGATTAATTATGTAGGAAGCCAAATCTAATTTCAAACGTCACTTGTCATCTTTTATGTGATAGATCTACAATTATCATAACAGTAATGTTTGTAGCCTTAAAACGAAATTGCAAGAGGAATGTCAATAAACAAAGTCTACACCATTCACAAGATGCTAATTTGCATTTAACACCATTCCAACAACTTTCAAATCAACTCCGGCAATTATGTTCTGATTCTATAATACATCTTTGTAAATACATCTTTGTAATGTTTGCAAGTTTCAGAAGATGAACCCTGCAAGGCCATCAAAATTACGACATGAGTTCCATATGTACACGTAACCACCACTAAAATTGAAGGAAAAAATATGGGTATGCTGGGTTAGGATTAGGATGAGAGTGAGGGTAGGCTATACAGCTGTGCATCGATTTTAGTGGGTTATATATATGGAACTCTTTCCGAAATTGCCTGTAGTTGATTTTTTTCCTTTCTCTTTAGGTAGTTGCAGACATGTTGTTTTGGTCATTGAGTTTTTTGTCTGTAGTTTTTCTGCTTTTCTCAAAACCATCATTATATCAAGGTAGACTTCCCCTTTGATAACCAAGTTTCATCAGTGTGTGTAGTGAACATTCCCTCTTTTTCCAATACACTTTCGCAATATAATTAAATAGTTATAGATTAATTGTAATGCATCTTTGCAAGTTCATATTTTCATGTTTTCATGATTTGATTTATAACTGTTTTAATGCTAACCCTGATGAAACAGTACTGTAATTATTATGTACCTACATGTAATATACACTCACCCATAAACTTTATCATATTCAGGAGGATATCCTGCACATCTATGATCATGGTTCTATTAAACTATATAATTTTCAATTAAACCTCCTTTACAGAAAGGGGAAATCAACAAGTGGCACCATTCATGTTTTTTTTTATAACTTATATGTGTAGATAGAAAAAATGCCTCACAAGGCTTTTCAAGATGATGTGGTCATTACCTCTTAATAGATTATATGTCAAAGTTACGGAGCCCGGGAAGGGACATGGTAAAAATATTTTTATCTCGTTAAAACGAGATAGTTATCTCGTTTTAATGAGATAGTATCTCGTTAAAACGACATAGTATCTCGTTTTAATGAGATAGTATCTCGTTAAAACGAGATAGTATCTCGTTTTAATGAGATAGTATCTCGTTAAAACGACATAGTATCTCGTTTTAATGAGATAGTTATCTCGTTTTAATGAGATAGTATCTCGTATAAGTCCATTGCATACTGGAACCGGGTGGTCCCTGTATTAAGCCTATGGGAGTGAGAGAATTCAGTAGTCCACGGGTTAACAACATAATACCCGCGAGGCTAGACTAGACTGCGCGCGCTGGCGCTAGCGCGCTCGCTGCTTAATGCAGTAATAGCGTATATAGCCAGGCGGCCATGCCATGCCAGGCCTTGTACGTATGTACTACTAAGTTACGTCTACGGTAGATCGACTGAATTCAACCAGAAGTTGCCGGTTGCAATCGCGAGGATTGAAGGTTAGTTCACTTCTTTTACTTATTTATGGCCGGGTCATTCAATGTAAAAGTGAACAAACAGCTAATTTAACAGATTTGCTCTTTTTCGCGATCAGTTCTAGATCTGTGTAACGTTAATTTTAAGACTGCTCATGCAATTAGCAGACTGCAGTCCCCATCGGAAGCGCCCTGTTCTGGGGCCCGACGCTTCAGGCTCTCCGCGGTCTGGGTCTGGGACCCTGGCCTTGGGCTTGGCCTGCTGGGAAGGCTGTGGTCATTTTGCAAGCTAGAGACAAAGTAAACTAGATCTAGACGTTACTTTTTTACGTGCTCGCATTGCAGTAGAAGTGTGGAATTTTCGTATGTATAGATCTAGACTAGTCTAGATATATACGAGGAAAAAGCAAGCAAATGTCAGAATTGTAAAAAAAAAAACAACCTCATATTCCACGGCTATTGATGTCTAACAAAGTTAGTGACTGTGTGTAGAGTCTAGATCTAGATTCAACTATGCAATATGCAATACACCGCAACTTAGTCTTAGTATAGATCTAGATCTATTTCAGCGACGCGGCGGATCCAGGATTTTTCAAAAGGGAGGGCCGAAGTTGGACCGAAATATCAGCCTCTATTTGGCGTTGACGGTTGGATCCGCTGAGATTGCATATCTGGCTTCTCTAAATGCCTCTGAGCTCTGTCATTTTGTCAAAAAAATGCCCCCAGAAAGATGGTTATTCCTGTCTAGGCCGAAGTCTGCTCAGCCTCAGGGCCTCATCAGGCACCAGAAAAATTCGCTGACCAGCGAAAAAAGTGGAAAAAATGATCCTTAGCTTTTTCAAGTGTCTGTTTAGATCTAGTCTAGATCTACCCAAAATATTCCTTGACAAGCAGACAAAAAGGAGAAGGGGAGGGCCATGGCCGATTCCCCCCCCCCCCCTTGATTCCGCCACAGTATAGATTCTATGACTATGTTGTTCAAATTATTTGCTAGGTACCAGTTTACTAGTAGGTTTATTGTCACCCTTATAGTCCTTACACTTCTAGCCATGTAATAACATTAACAGTAACTGGGATTTTGTCAAAATGTTTACATTTACGTATCTAGAGGCTAATAAAAAAACATCAGTGCAACACTGTTGAGTATGTTGAAGCACTAAAAATAGAGGATTTATTTATTTAATAAATTTACTGTCTTCATATTAACTTTCATTGCTAACATGTTGAGCTATTTGATAAAATTATTTTTTTATTTTTTTTTTCTCAGTAAATTTACAATATTTTAATGTTTAAATGTTGCTGAAATAGTTACTTGACAAATGCAAAGTAAGATTAATAAACAAAAACCAGTGTGCATGAAAAGTTTATTTAACCAGTTCTTTGGGGGGAAAAACACTGTTGCCTGTGCGTTTTAGATAGGTATACACCATGGGGCTAACGTAGTGAGCCCCATGCCTGCAGGGGTGGTTTATTGTACTAGTAACTACGAGTGTAGAAAATCAATAAGTTTTGAAATATTATAAATAAGGACTAGACCTAGACTGCATGCATGGCTGGAATACTCCCCCAGGGAGTGGAGAATGTGCATACATTGTGTGCGGGCAATCCTGATTGAATCCGATGACCGGGGACGGGGTAATAATAATCTGTAAACTGCTTAGATACATTATTAATGTCTTACTCTTAAGCACTATAAAAAAGCGGATTATTATTATTATTGATTGTGTTTTCAATATTTTAATTTTGTATTCATTGTATTTCTTCAGTAACTTAATGCCTGGCTAAAACATCGACAAACTTAAACTGATGTCATACATAAGTGTTAATACATGTGTAGGATCTACATCTATATAAGTTAGTTGGGAGTAGTCTCTAGACCCTATATCATACATGTATGTATATGGTCCTTCCATGCATGGACCACATACTCATCTCCCATCTTCCAAAAAAGAATAGCTAATGATTTTGGTAACAAAAAATTGCCTCACTAATCATCACTGCTTCTTTGTTTTCTGTCTTCAGCGTGTTCTTCGGCAACACTGAGGCAGCATTTGAGAAGAAATATCCCTCAGGCTCAGCTCACCAATTGAAGGACAAGGACAAGGGTTCTATCCAGAGTTTCCAAGTAAGATAATTCCTCTTATAATCCTATTCAGTGTAAGTGTTAAAAAAAGAAACTGAATTGAAATAAGAAATTAAATTAGATAGAAGAATAGGCAGCAAGATGAGGGGTAATGGAATGTAAGTTCTAGGAAAAAGTTTTGAAAACACTTGTAACGATTTCTGGATCTGGATGTATACGATGCTGGACCAGTTGGTATATGATTGCAGCAGATGAGAGAGGGCGCAAAGAATAGATAGTTGAATCGTAGGTGGCTCTTCTCAATCTTAGACTTGAACACCTTTGATGATGGACAGACTATTGATTACTTATTAGAGTACAGACTCAGTAATTTTGAATCCAAAGGACCTGTAGATGGTACGTACTGAACTGATAGACTCTTAGAGCTGTAGCGTACCTTTAGGATAGACCTAAACAATCCAATTTTCTGGGCATTAGTTGGCACATAACCTTATTCTTGAAACTTATGACCTAATTCTTGTGCAGCCCTGATATGGGTATTAATTGCACAGGTCACTTACTGACTTTTTCTTAAATTCTCTTTTTAGGCACAATTTTTGTAGGGTGTTTTCTGCAGCTGTAACCCATGCATACACACCCTAGCCTCCAGCACAGCATTGACCACCCAGCTAATCTCATTCAGGTATGACTTTCTGGGATTGATTTGAAGCTCAATGAACAGAAGGCTCAAGATTAGCTATTGTCACCTTCATCAGGGGTGGGTTCATTAGGATCAGGGGTGGGGGCTAAATGGAAAAGGGAACAGATTTATCAATTTTTTTGGTCAAAATGCATGATCACATGTAACCAAACTTGGCAGGAATCATTCAAAATTCTACCCATGGATGTACAATTTTTAATCATGCATGTAACTCAATAAATGTCTTAAGATTGTTCTAAAGATAAAAGAAAGGGGCTAAAGTGTGGTTCGATTCACCTCTCATTCCATGTGTATACCTTCACCATGTACAAAGTCTATGGCACTAGACTATGGAAATGGTAAGCTGTCACTGGCAATTCAATGCCAATGATGAAATAAATGGCAGTGCTTGGAGTGGTGACATTAACCATAATGCGATTGAAGTAAATAATGAAATGTTTCATGTATTTAAAAAAAAAAAAATGCATTTTCAGATTGTAACCGATATATGTATGACTATAGGAATCATCCATGAGGATAGGAGCTCAATGTAACTTAATTCAAACTCTCTGCAAGTGAGAATCAGCAACAGGTAAATTATTCACAAGTTGCATATTATAGTAAGTTCATACATGTACCTCTTCAAAAAACAGAAAGACTAAACATTTTATTATATTTCTGGAAATGTAGGTAATTGTTAGTCACTACCTAAGCCCCCCCCCCCCAAAAAAAAATGCATCATAAGTCACCACTGTACCCTCCTTTTTTCATTTTCAGCATTTTCCTTGGCAACATTGAGGCAGCATTTGAGAAGAATTAACCTTCAACTCACCAACCTGCTCTTAGGCATTTTCTTCAAGGATGCTATCCACAGATGCCAAGTAAGTGGAACAGATATACGAGGTGTGTCAGAAAAGTTCCAGGACTGATATCACAAAAGAAATATATACCCAAATTACAGACTTTGAGTTTTCCCTTTCGAAGCAATCCCACTGGAGTCTTACACAATGTCCCATCTTTCTCTGCCATGCCTCCATGCACTCCTGAATGATTTTTCTTGGATCCTCTGCAGCTTTTTCCGTCCTCATGGCCATGTTTACATCTTCCACATTTGTAACTCTTTGTGCGACCAACCATGAAACCCCTGTGTGCCCCATTATTTTAGGGAGTGACAATTTTGCCGCATTCTGCCAGACACTCCTAATTCAAAGGGCTGTAACTTTTTCTGCAATCGTTATGAAGAAAAATTGTGTCCAGCAAAGTTGTCTAGTTTTGTATTGGCTTTCCAGTCATGTATATTTCTATTCTTTGGCTAATTTTGGGATCCAACACTTAAGAGGGGCGTTAAACTGTTATCAATCAAGCATCTCAACACTGAGCAAACAGATACTATAAATTGGTTCTTTCTATTGAAGAATATTACTGCCATTTTACCTCAAATGAATATTTCCTTTGTTAAGAAGAGTGTTTGATGCTATTCTAATTAAACAAGACAAAAATAAAAGAAATCCATTCCTTTCTAATTTCCATACGTCTGGGTCATTCGCTCTAAAGTTTGAACGAAGTTATTTTCATGACAAAGTACTTCTATCCATGAAATTTCATCAAAACTAGGGAGGATGTGCCACCCAAGACTACTTCCCTTGAATGCCGTACTATTTGATTAATATCCGTACTATTTCAAGGTGATGTTTCCATGATCTGCTTTTAAATCTTGTTTGGTTTCTTTCTTCTTTTTTTTTGCCACAGATGTCGAAGTTGTACCACCACAAGCTAGACAAGATTTTGATTCCGACTAACCCATTCTTTAAAGGTCCATTGCCTTAGGAAATTAAAACTTTTATGTCTTGTATCAAGACCCTTTTAAAGCAACATAATAACAATTGTTTCATAAATAAATGCCTCCTTATATTTTTTACAATTTTTTGAAAACCTCTCCAAGTTGCTCGTCTAATGGTGGACCCCGCCCTTAAAATTCTCAGAGTTCCTCGGAATGATTGACCAAAGGATTAGTGATGTTATATCAAGAACGATCTCCGCTTAGGCAAGCTACGGTGCTTGCTAGCCAGCTCTGCAGGCATTATGTTTTGTACACAAACATAAACAATTACTTTTGTTATTAAATAGTGTGCTATGCATCTTTACTTGTTATTTATTGTGGTGAAATTTCACTAATGGCCCAATTTTAAAAAGAGAGCTATACCATGAGTCGAAGAAGATCGTAATTGATTTGAATGCCTGTATAACGTGTCAACTAAATGCATGCTATAAAGAATTTCAAAGGTAAGAAAAAAATGTTTCATATATCTAAGTGACTGAATGTTTTTCGTACTACCTTCTTCTCAATTTAAAGAAATATTGAAAGTGGTATATCAGAGTGAAGAAACTTGTGTTTTTCCCTTTACAAGCTCTGCTCTTTCTTACTTCACTTTCAAATTTCCTCTCTTGTTATATAAACATTTAGCGATTGCTTTACTTCACACATTCAAGCAATGTATACTATCCCTCCTAAAAAAAAGTTTGTAGATGTGTTAACAATAGATATGGCGACGAAATGTATCAGCATCTCTGAAATGCCTAAGCATAAAAAATGTTGGCAATTTCTCTGAATTTTATTTTTTTAATTTTTTATGGAACATTGTTTACATTAATTGCCTAGTTCTTGGCATGCAAATGGTGGACACTTTATTAATTTCTTTATATTTTTGTGCTGTACATATGTAGAGGAATCTTGTCATAAGCAATCGTGTTCGTCTGCCAGAAAGTTTTTTTTTGTTTTACTCGGGAAATTGTGAGGATTGTTTATTATATTCGTACAATGAATTTCAGTATGTTATGTTGTGTTACGTGTAAGCGACAATTCATTTTTATAACAGCTCCTATCGTCCTAGCATTCATTGATAGTAGGCCTATATTGTGACACATTGAGATACCTTGAACTTGAAACTACGTTTACATCTTTTTCGAATTCACGAAAATACAAAAGAAAGATGTACAATAATTGTATTCACATTTACAACAGTTTGTTTATTACACATAAAATAAAGTATGTTTTATCACAAAATCAGTTTATTTTCCTTGTTCTTTTGTTTGGAGGGAGGGGGATGTATTCAGAGCAAATTCTAAGAAGCAAGATGGTGAACTTTTCATTCAAATGGGACAAATAAGTTGTTATCAAGTTTTGATAGTGATTAAAATGTACAAGATAATAGACATGACGAAATTAAAATAACATGTCCCTCTTGCTTCAATATTGTTATTATACATATCTTCCAGAGGGATCTAAGTCGAGTTCTATAATGAACTTTTCTCAAATTCAGTCTAATTTTGATGAAATTGTTACTATCTTCATTTTGTGGATTTTGCTCTGTTTATTTATTTAATCCAATCTTTAACTACTTGGCTTTTTCTTGTCACGTTGTGATGCATGTGTTTGAATGATTGTACATGTCCGATGTAGTATGATCTTGACGATGTTCTTATGAACGGACGACTGATGTTGGTGTGAATATGTTTTTGAGTTGGTGTTGGTAATGTCAGAAGGATGTTGGCATGAACTGGAAAGGGGAGGTACAACGTCGGCACATGGTGGGATACGGGTTGGCATAACGTTGCTTCTACGTCGGCAAATGGTGGAGAAGAGGTTGGCATAACGTTGGTCTAGCATTGGCACATGGTGGAGGAGGGGTCGGCACTTGGTGGGAAAAGGGTTGGCATTATGTTAGGACAACGTCGGGGAGACGTCGGCACATAGTGTAAAAGGGGTTGGCATTACGTTGGTCCTACGTCAGGGAGACGTCGGCACATGGTGGAAAAGGGGTTGGCATTACGTTTGTCCTATGTCGGCATATGGTGGGATAGGGGTTGACATGACGTTGGTCATACGTCGGGGGACGTTGGCCCGATGTTGGCTTAATGTCATTTCGTCGTTGTCGAGCCAACGTTGGCCCGCCGGCAAGAAAGCCGTTGGCCCAACATCACATTGGCGACGATGGCGCAACGTAACAGCCCACGACGTCGGCACGTGGTGGGATAGGGGTTGGCATAACGTTGGTCCAATGTCGGAACTACGTCGGCACATGGTGGGATAGGGGTTGGAATAACGTTGGTCCTACGTCGTGGAGACGTCGGCACATGGTTGAAAAGGGGTTAGTATAACGTTGGGCCAATGTCGAGGAGACGTCGGCACATGGTGGGATAAGGGTTGGCATAACGTTTATCCAATGTCGGAACAACGTCGGCACATGGTGGGATAGGGATTGGCATAACGTTGGTCGTACGTCGGCACATGGTTAAAAAAGGGTTGGGACGACGTTGGTCCAATGTCGGAAAGACGTCGGCATACGGTGGAAAAGAGGTTGGCATAACGTTGGTTCAATGTCGGGAGGACATCGGCACATATGGTCGGATAGGGGTCGGCACAACGTTGGCCCGATGTTGGCTTAATGTCATTTTGTCACTGTCGGGCCAACGTTGGCCCGCCGGCAAGAAAGCCGTGGGCCCAACATCATGTTGGCGACGTTGGACCAACGTAACAGCTTACGTTGGCCCCACGTTGGCGTAACGTCGTATTGTTATCTGGGTTAATACAGGGACCACCCGGTTCCAGTATGCAATGGACTTATACGAGATACTATCTCATTAAAACGAGATAACTATCTCATTAAAACGAGATACTATGTCGTTTTAACGAGATACTATCTCATTAAAACGAGATAACTATCTCGTTTTAACGAGATACTATGTCGTTTTAACGAGATACTATCTCATTAAAACGAGATACTATGTCGTTTTAACGAGATACTATCTCATTAAAACGAGATAACTATCTCGTTTTAACGAGATACTATGTCGTTTTAACGAGATACTATCTCATTAAAACGAGATACTATGTCGTTTTAACGAGATACTATCTCATTAAAACGAGATAACTATCTCGTTTTAACGAGATAAAAATATTTTTACCATGTCCCTTCCCGGGCTCCGTACAAAGTGGTTACAGTATGAGAGAACCTTTTCCACGTATGTAGGAGGATAGCCTTTAGATATATATTTAAAATTGAATTTCCAATCATTCTCTCTATAGATAAATGTACAGTATATAAAGAATGATATCTAGGGACTTGATAATGACATGTTCGATAATAATCAGTTTGTGTTCTTAATTAGATGCATTCATTCATTCCTAAAAGAAAGGCTTTGGAGCATACATGAATTTAAAAAAGAAGTCTATCCCACTTTATTTGTTACATGGAGGTTAAAGAATTGATATGATTTTAATTTTTTTATTAGAGACCTTTTGTAAAACCCTGATAGAATCAATTTTGATTTGTTTACGCGATTGTTGTATTTTTACCATTCACGCTATCATTTTCTTCTTTTTCTATGCAGGCTGGAAGTAACACACATGTGCAGTGTTTCAGTCGAAAACGAATACCACCCATTCAAAATCGGTTATAGGATCTTGTCCATATGTCCATATTTTTGTATGCATGTGAAACATGGACCATGACAGCAGACATTAAAAGAAGGATACAGGCACTGGAGATGAAATGTTTCCGCAAACTCCTCAGTATCTGGTATAGAGATCACATAACCAACGAGGTAGTGAAAATCAGAATTGGAAACACCATAGGGCCGTATGAAGACCTCCTGACTTCAGTGAAAAGATGCAAAGTAAAGTGGTATGGGTATGTCACATGATCATTTGGACTGGCCAAGACTATTCTACATGGAACAGTACAAGGAGGGAGACGAAAAGGCAGGCAGAGGAAACGATGGGAAGACAACATTAACGAGTGACCTTGACTGAAACATCATACTTCGTAAAGCCAAGAACCACGAGGAGTGGAGGAAGCTGGTAGTATAAATCTTCAGTGGTGCCCCAAGGGTCAGCCAGACTGTGGGATAGGTGAAGGTGAAGGTGAAGGAAGCTAAGAATCAGATAGTTAGACATTATATTGGATCATTTATCCTTTCCTTCAAAAGGAATGTTGATTTATACTGTAGCACATAAACAATGCTTTTTAATTGGCAATATTTCAGTTCAGTACGCTTGTTATTAATTTCATCAATCATTAACATGTAAAAGGGAGAAACACTGTCATTTGAAAATCAAAATGTAAGTCATACAAATTTCACTGTCTAACTATCTGAATCTTGTCAGGATCCATGTACGAGTTAGTGCAATTCTTTTCTCTTCACTACAACCGCATTGATTTACTTTAATAGCATGTTACTAGGTACATCAATTGATGAGAAAAAGCAGCAAAACGCTTTAAATTTGTTGTAGTCTTAAAATTAAAGTTGGAAGTTTCCTAAAAAGGGAATTTTAGAACACTCCTTCAACTGACATGCACGGATGTTATACTTATGAATTTCCATACATTAATGTCTTTGTAATGCATGTTACCAAACAAAAAAAAGTATCATCAACCATTCTTGTCATTTCCTGTGCAATTATTTTCACATCCTGGCTTAACAGTACATAAACAGTGCTCTTTTATTTTCAATATTTCAGAAAAATGCATTTGCATTATGATACATGCAGGTATAGTTGGTCAAGTAAGAATATATTTACAGCATGCTCACTATGAATTGATTAAATCGCCATTGAATCTAAAAGGTATGTTATACCTCATTGTATATTCAGAAGGAAAAAGTGTGAGGATAGCTTTAAAAAAAAAAAAATCATGAGTATCCATAATGATGTGAATATATACATGTTTGTTTGTTGCATATGATTCTTCCTTGGTATCAAAGCTGTAATAATTGCATATTTATGATTCAGCATAATACTTTGTTCATTACAAAAAAAAATATGTCATAATTTTCCAAAACGGTAGTGTCAAGATTGAGGTAAGATTGTTACATATATTCTCTATACGTATCAACTAAAATGTAAGTTTTCAAATGAGATACTATTTTGTCCCCAGATGAAATAAGTAATGGATCTTTTTTGTTAAATGTCAGCAAATGATCTAAATGAACATGTGTTCGGGTATATCAAATCTTGTACATGTAGTTTCTATAGCTAATATAGTTTGGAGGACTTAAAGATAGAAAAACTGCTGATTGATTAATTACCATTGTTTGTATTGTTCACTATAACCAGCAAGTAAAGGGACATTTAGTAGATGCCAAGAAAGTATTTCCAAAGCAATTACATTTCTCTTATCCTGTAATGTATTTTTTGCGTCAATAAAAGCAAATGTGAGGGTTGTCCACATAACATTACAACTACAGAACAGTTTAATTGAAATTAACATAAATATTACATGTATATATGTGTATTATGGAATAACTTAGAATATTACATAATTTGTTATTATTATCCAGTTCATTACATTTTTACCAATGTATTTCTTCAATATTTCTACTTTTCCTCAGAGCATATGCTGTGAACTAATGGATATTCCTTGTCAGTTCCATCATGTTATGTCAATGGGCTTACACTGTATGCGTGTACATGTCCTTTTTGCAATGTACATGTGCTACGAAAATGTCAACAATATTGTTTGAGATATAAAATATAGAGTTAACAAGTGAATTATTCATACTCCTTGTAAATGTGATTTTTGGGGATGCATTTTTTTGTAACTTAAGAATGAAAGGTTGACTGGGTGAATTAGGGCCCTTTTAGAAATAAATGTACATGTAGTTGTAACGTTTTCAAATGGATGAAAGTTTTACGGTGTAATTGTTGAAATCAAGAATTTTAAATTCTGTTTTCATGTTCTCACAATAGTTGTGTTAAAATTACAATAAGAAAGTTAAAACTTGTAAAAATATGCCACCTTGAAAATGGACTAGACTGAATAATTTTGAATTTGTAATATCTATGACAATTATCAACTCTTTCAAATTATGAACCACAGCATTAAGGGTGGTTTGCAGTGGAACTTACATGATTTGCATATTTAATATCAAAATTTAAACTGTAAGCTAACTTTGGCAGACAACACCGAATTCATTGAAAACTTTACTGTGAATAGATGAAGATGATGATGATAATAGTGACG